CAGCTGGGATAGGCTCCAGCACCCCACCACAACCCAGAAGGATAAGCGGTTTAGATGATGTATGTATGTATGTATTTTGAACTATTCAGTAAGTACTATAAATTATTCAATATCCACTATATATTATTTAGTATCTAGTATGAATTATTCAGTATGTACTATGAATTATTCAGTATCTTGTATGAATTATTTGTTATCTACTATGAATTATTCAATATTTACTATTAATTATTCAGTATCCACTATGAATTGTTCAGTATGTACTATGCATTATTCAGTATCTACTATGAATTATTCAATATCTACTATTAATTGTTCAGTATCTACTATGAATTATTCAGTATCTTGTATGAATTATTTGTTATCTAATATGAATTATTCAGTATCTACTATGAATTATTCAATATCTACTATTAATTTTTCAGTATCTCATATGAAGTTTTCAATATCTATTATGAATGTTTTAGCATCTATGATAAATTGTTCAGTATCTTCTGTGCATTTTTAATATCTATAAAATATTCAGTAACGTCTAAACTTTTAACTCTCAACAATGAATTATTCAGTAACGTGTCTGAACTTTTCAGAATCTACTATCAATTATTAATAACTACTATAAGTTATTCAGTGAGCCGTTAGGGTTTAGAGGATTAGTGTGATTTAAAGGAATCTACATGGTTGAGGTTTGGTGGTTGGCTGCAGCTATTGATAAAGACGTAATCTGAAAAGTAGAACCCACCCGTCAGTGCACAGTCTCTGATCTCCCACACGCTGCTCTAAACAGTGTCTAATCATCCGTCTGATCAGCTCTCTCACCTGTAACTCTGTTTTGCGGTCGTATAAAGGACTGTTTATGAAATGTTCTTACAGTACTAAGAAAGGTAGACGGAGGAATGTTATTCTAAGTGTCTGACGAAGGCTGCGTCCACAGTCTCTGACCTTTAGCCCTTCTATAATGAGAAATGTCTGCAGTCCACCGTGCTGAGGTAAACCGCCTCAGAGGAGAATAGTAGTTTGATGCAATTAGAGGATCATTCTTCATTTCTATTGCTCTGATTTGAGAGATATGATTGTTTGTGTCGCGTTGGTTTGCTTGAGAATCAGCGATATCATTTTTAAATTGTTAATAAAGGACTGTAAAAAATGATATGCTTATAAAAAGATTGTTTTGCTGTTTTGTTGTGAGGATTTATAGAAATATGCCAGCTCTTTGGGACAGGTTCATGATCAGATGCGTATGACAACACATTGTATTAGGATTTCTGCTTTATTTGGATTCATTTTCAAGTTCTGACAAAGTGCCACACAGTTTTGAAGTACCGTATTTGGGCTTTATGCCTCCTCAGATGAATAAAGCAATAAGAAAATAGCAGAATATGGTCACTGTCCAAAGACAAACCAGTGTAACCTTACAGGAGAGGACAAAAACGGTCTTTTACTGTCAGTCACCGTAAAGAGATGCATTTCGGAGCATTTTGATTGGTCCAATCATTCTGAAATATTCCCACAATATAGGGACAGCAGAGCTCTAATTATGTAGTATAATAAAAATGGGAACGAATGCAGACCTGCACCAGTTAATAATAAAATAACTGCTGAATCTGTGTTTTACACCAAATATCAATTTTTCCATTAGTTATTTTTTCTTACCTAATCATTCCTCCTTTTACCCTGCTCTTCAGTGGTCAGGACCCCCATGGACCCTCACAGAGCAGGTACTATTTGGGTGGTGGATCATTCTCAGCACTGCAGTAACACTGACGTGGTGGTGGTGTGTTAGTGTGTGTTGTGCTGGTACAAGTGGATCAGACACAGCAGTGCTGCTGGAGTTTTTAAACACTGCGTCCACTCACTGTCCACTCTATTAGACACTCCTACCTTGTCGCTCCACCTTGTAGATGTAAAGTCAGAGACGATAGCTCATCTGCTGCTGCACAGTTTGTGTTGGTCATCCTCTAGTCCTTCATCAGTGATCACAGGACGCTGCCCACAGGACGCTGTTGGCTGGATATTTTTGGTTAGTGGACTATTCTCAGTCCAGCAGTGACACTGAGGTGTTTAAAAACTCCAGCAGCACTTCTGATCCACTCAGACCAGCGCAACACACACTAACACACCACCACCATGTCAGTGTTACTGCAGAGCTGAGAATGATCCACCACCCAAATAGAACCTGCTCTGTGAGGGTCCATGGGGGTCCTGACCACTGAAGAACAGGGTGAAAGGGGACTAACAAAGTATCAGAGAAACAGATGGACTACAGTCTGTAACTGTAGAATTACAAAGTGCACCTATATAGTAAGTGGAGCTGATAAAATGGACAATGAGCATAGAAACAAGGAGGTGGTCAGAATGTTATGCCTGATCGGTGTAAAATGCTGTGCAGCATGTTGTTATAAAATGATGATTTGTTTACCTGTTTAGTCTGTTTACAAAGAATTAACCTGACTGTTTGACTCAGTGAGACACCTAAGTGGCCTTTACATGACTCCACTCATAGTGTAAACAGATCTGTTCATTCCCATTCACACTAAATATCGTATCTCAAATCTTCATAGGAGCCCAACTCGTTACAGACGGAGTAATGCAAAACACCAAGTCCGCATGAGCATGGAGCTGATTTCCCATTCCGGAAAAGTCTGCAGGCTTCATGCTGGAGTGAATGGGAATTAGTTATCACAGGCCCGCAGGGTGTAATCACACCGCATTGTTTCAGCACAGCTTACCCAAAGCTCCTTTATGTCTGACATCAGAACAGGGCAGAAGACTCAGAGAGGGAAATCTAACCTGTACAGCCTCCTGCAGGATCACCGCTGTGCAATATAAACTGTGTGCATTAAAATAAAATGAGAGTTTTAACTGATGAGGGTGAAGCAGTGCATGATACTGATCAGCTGGAGCGAACGGGGCACAGCAACACGCTATAGTTTCTGCTAACTGTCTAAGAAAGATAAACATCGTTTTATACAGGCAACCTACACGTCTCTGCTACAAATGAAAGCATAAGCTATTTTGGAGCACCTACCGTTTATGAGCCGTTCAGCCCTGTATTGGAAAAAAAATGCATGGACATTTACACCGATCAGCCATAACATTATGACCATCCTTGTTTCTACGCTCATTGTCCATTTTATCAGCTCCACTTACTATATAGGTGCACTTTGTAGTTCTACAGTTACAGACTGTAGTCCATCTGTTTCTCTGATACTTTGTTAGCCCCCTTTTACCCTGTTCTTCAGTGGTCAGGACCCCCATGGACCCTCACAGAGCAGGTACTATTTGGGTGGTGGATCATTCTCAGCACTGCAGTAACACTGATGGTAGTGTGTTAGTGTGTGTTGTGCTGGTCTGAGTGGATCAGCCACAGCAGTGCTGCTGTATTTCAATATTTGAAATACTTTTCAAACACATTCCAGTCGATGCTGAAACACTATCCAAACACTAAGGTATATTTCTGAATATGTTGCCATATTAATCAAATATATTTTAAAATTTATTTACTTTAAAATGTATGATGAAACATTACACATAGAAATGTACCGTCTAATAGATGTGTGTTAATATATGTAATTGATAGCGCCCTCGAGACAAGGCTAACGGCTAAAATGGAGCTCAATTTGACCCTTAACCTTTAGAACCCTAATATTGTGGGTAATTGTTTTGGGTCAAATACAATTACAATTGGAATTAAAAGGTTTTTACATGAGACAGTCACACAGGCCGTATGATGTTATTTTCAGGAGACCCTGGGCTGCTCAGATATGCCATTGTTTGCCATGTAAATGCTAACAGAAAATTGATATCTTTATGAATTTGGGTCATTTCTGATCAAAAATTTACCTAGCGCCTGCTAAATTTTGTATTTTTTAAATATAGAGATCTTGAAAACAAGTGAAATTGTAGTTATCTTATGAGGAATTGTTAGTCTGGAGTGTCTGTGAGCTGAAAGTACAATCATTTTGTACAAACTGCTGCTGCACAGTTTGTGTTGGTCATCCTCGAGTCCTTCATCAGTGGACACAGGACGCTGCCCACAGGACGCTGCCCACAGGACGCTGCCCACAGGACGCTGCCCACAGGACGCTGCCCTGGTGGACAGTTAAATTCAGTAAATAAACAGTAACTGTGTATTAAAATGTGTGGAAATGTGTCTCTGTAGAAGATGTGTTCACTTATTTACCCTTCGGAAATCAACAACCATATGTAATTTGACCAGGGGTGCCCAAACTTTTGTATATGACTATATTTGTATTGTCAGAATAGAATAAAATATACTATATTCTATACATACAGTACATACTTGAATACATTTGTATGTATTTTTTGTCCTCCTTGCAGGTTGAAAAATATTAGATACTACCCAGTTACTAACTCAGTCTAGTCAATTTAATGCAATGTAAATATTGAAAATTAATTGTAGATTTGTAGAATTCTCCTATAATATTTTTGCATCAAATTTTAAGAATTTACTGATTTTAATCAACTTATTTATTACTTAAAAATAATAAATGAGTTATTTATTGAAAATGTTATATACATTTGGGATATTTTATATTTTGTAATGTATTCTTGCCTTTCTTGCAGGTTGAAAAATATCAGATAGTAACTAATTACTAACTCAATCTAATTAATTTAATGCGATGTAAATGTTAAAAATGAGTTGTAGATTTGTAGAACTGTCATATAATATTTTTGCATCAAATTTTCATATTTTACTCTTTTTAATTCACTTATTTATTATTTAAAATAAATAAATACATCAATTAATTAACTAATTACTTAATTAATTGTCTATTTTTTGTATTTTGAGTTATTTATGTTTTATAACATACTTTTGCCCTTCTTGCAGTTATTGACTCATTCTGGTTAATTTATTGATATGTAATGTTAAACACTGATAATAAATTATAGTTCCAGCAAATTCTGGTTTTCCCTCTGCGCACGCGCACACTGGCTGGTTAATTTGAATATCGGATTTGCAGTGCGCATGCTCAGTTCAGTGTTCCAGCTGGGTGTTGGGGACTTCAGCGCTAGCCGGCTAACTTAGCCAGGACGGATTAACAGCAGTTTCGTTTCAGTTTAATATCCTGTATTTCATTTTAGTGCCCTGTAGCACTGAGAGGATGACCACAATGACCACAGTGATGGACTTCGTTAGCCTAGCTTAGCTTAGCTTAGCTTGCTCCATACTGGCCTATGAGGAGTTAGGTTAGCTTGTTAGCTTAGCTTGTAAACAAAAGAGCCGTTCCGCAGGCGGCGGCGCTCCGAGACGGGGTTTTATGGTAAACTCTCAGTAAGTAGAGCACTCCGGTTTCCTGTAATCTGTTTTTTATTCACAACAGAGCGTCTTTATCACGAGAAGCGCTGCGAGGCTGAAGTTTGCTTCCTTTTCGCCAGCTTTTTGCTCGAATTTTTCCGTTCCACCTTAAATGGTGCAGCAGTTACATTCGTGCGCCTCAGGTTCCAGAATGAAACTGCTGGACCGTTTAAGGTGGAACGGAAAAATTCGAACAAGCCACCGGGAGCTTTTCTTAAATGGTTAAAAAGTTTTTCCTTTTCTCATCTCGGCTTTACAAAATATGGCCAAAGTTAGAGTTTTAACCCCTGTTCGATATTAAAACGAGTGTTTTTCCACTTGTCTAAATGATTTAGTGTCATTATCCAGATATCCAGATAACATAAACAACCAGAACCGTGTTTGATAGGTTTGTTGTTGGGGTTAAAACGATGGATACACTCTTAAAAAGATGGTTCTTTAGTAAAGACAGTAGTTCTATATAGAACCCTGAACGCTTACAGAACCGTTTGCATGCTGAAATGGTTCTGTATTAGAACCAAAGAGGGTTGTTTTGCTGTTGTTACAATGAACCGTTTTCAGAAAGGTTCTATGTAGAACCATATAAAGTTACAGCACGTTCTCAATCAATCTGAAGACACATCTCACTATGCGAAGAACCAATAGAGAGTTTACAGATTCTTATAGAATCACTGTCTTTACTAAAGAACCCTTGAATAACCGAGAGTAGGATAATGTTTATATCTATGCAGTTCCACTAAAGGCCTTTTAAAGATACCGTCAAGTTTGTCCTCTTTAATTTTACTGATTATTTGACTTTTTTTTGCATTATTAATCTAAAATGACCCATGATGCTTTTTAATGATCTGTATATCTGTAACGGCCCTGCAGTGTTTGCTGTTTCTCTAATTTATGTCCTTTTGTCCTCAGGTCCAGGGATCCAGAGCCCAGGGACCATGCTGTAGTTCGGGAGCAGCCTCTTTTCCCACTAATGCGCACCTCTTTAAACTCAGCAACGTTATGGAGAACGTTATATCAGCAGTAGCATGAGAGAGAAGACGTTAAATAAGTTTGGGGTGAGTGGATCTTGTTTGGTAACACTTTATTTGAAGGCTGCCTACACAGGGGCTTCATAACACATGCTTATGCATTGAATAATATATTTAAAAAGCAACTTTTGAGTATTTATGAAAAGCTTGGGTCAGTACTCATAAAATGACATGGAACAATATAACTGATGTGTAGTGTTCTCATCTAGGCCTCTAGATTGATGCTTCATACCATTTGGCCCAGGACTTTAGGTCAGTACAGTATCATTCACACCGATCAGGCATAACATTCTGACCACCTCCTTGTTTCTACACTCATTGTCCACTTTATCAGCTCCACTTACTATATAGGTGCACTTTGTAGTTCTACAGTTACAGACTGTAGTCCATCTGTTTCTCTGATACTTTGTTAGCCCCCTTTTACCCTGTTCTTCGGTAGTCAGGACCCCCATGGACCCTCACAGAGCAGGTACTATTTGGGTGGTGGATCATTCTCAGCACTGCAGTAACACTGACGTGGTGGTGGTGGGTTAGTGTGTGTTGCGCTGGTCTGAGTGGATCAGATGCAGCAGTGCTGCTGGAGTTTTTAAACACCTCAGTGTCACTGCTGGACTGAGAATAGTCCAACAACCAAAAATATCCAGCCAACAGCGTCCTGTGGGCAGCTTCTTGTGACCACTGATGAAGGACTAGAGGATGACCAACACAAACTGTGCAGCAGCAGATGAGCTATCGTCTCTGACTTTACATCTACAAGGTGGACCGACAAGGTAGGAGTGTCTAATAGAGTGGACAGTGAGTGGACACAGTGTTTTAAAACTCCAGCAGCACTGCTGGGTCTGATCCACTCATACTAGCACAACACACACTAACACACCACCACCACGTCAGTGTTACTGCAGTGCTGAGAATGATCCACCACCCAAATAGTACCTGCTCTGTGAGGGTCCATGGGGGTCCTGACCACTGAAGAACAGGGTAAAAGTATCAGAGAAACAGATGGACTACAGTCTGTAACTGTAGAACTACAAAGTGCACCTATATAGTAAGTGGAGCTGATAAAATGGACAATGAGCGTAGAAACAAGGAGGTGGTCATAATGTTATGCCTGATCGGTGTATTTCATCAAGTATCTTTTGTTGTCTTGCAAATACTGGCATAAGCTTTAAAGAGCAACGCTTGAGCACTTTATATAGATGTTATCTGATGCGTGTCACTGTGTAGGTAGGCTTAGAAGTCCCACGGTCATTGCTTTCCATTCTGTTTTAAACTAAAGTAAATGTGTAATATTCAACCTGAATGACTTTCCCCGTCTTTGCCGTTAGAAACTGCCACACGCTTTGGCTTATCAGAAAGCGGCTGGTGCAGCGTTTGTCCGTATGTTGTCAACAAAGGCAGGTCTGGGCCTGTAGCAGGCCTGTGTGGACAAGTCTCAGAAACCCAGCTATACTTATTTATCTAAACATACACTTTGACTGCCATTGTTATGATTCACTCCTGTGTTTTGACGTGTGGTTTGAATCAGGAGCCGAATGCTATGAAAATAAGTGGGTTAAAGTTTCTGATAACGGGTGATTTCGGCTGATTTAATTTACATTTTAAGATTTAATTTTATACTTTAGTACGTCTTGGTTGACCAGGGCTTTACTGACTGATATGACTGTCAGTTCTCAGTGGGAATGTTCCTTAAATTCAAATAAACAGCTGAAACGAACAATCATAAATGATACAATAGTATAAATGTTGTAAAACTGAAGGGCGGAGCCGCTCATAATTTTTTTACCTTTTTCTTATTTTATTCATGGTAGGTGGGTTTGGATATATTTTATTTATGCCTTTTTAACAATAATAATAATAATAGTAAACATAACATTATTAATAGCACACTTTTTAGACCACTAGCAGCTCAGAGTGCTTTACAGACAAGTGATAAAGTTTAACACAAACAGGAGAAATTAAAGTTTAGTTTAGTGATTTTATTATGTTATTGCTCAATAACAGCAAAATCAGGAAAAATAAATACATGACATAATTGATGGTGCTATCTGTTCAGGTTCTCCATTTCAGTCTGTTTTACTGTAAAATAGATAAACAGAGGGACTGTAAAGACGGGGTGGTCTTTAAGGAATAGTTCAGAAAAAAAAATCAAATTTATACAGATTTCTTTGGGGCTAACTTATTATTAAAAGTCAATAGTCACCCAAATCTTTTCTGTAAATGTGTCCCCCAAACTTTTTCCAACCTGCTCAGACCACGTTATTGTTTTTGTTGCCATTGTTTTTTCTACTTATCTGAGTTTAAGATATCCACACAGTATTGGTCTCATGTTCAGGGGACTCTGCAGGTCAAGAATTATTTAAAAAATGTGATATTTATGAACACTATGGTCACCATGTGCCAGTGAAGCCCTGGCTACAGATCAGGATTATTTTGGACAGATCTTAAAGTTAAAACTGTGATGCGAAACAGTTTTGTGGAAGCCCACGAAGTTTAACACCAATTATTCAATAGGGGGCGTTATTATAACCAAATATCTGTTTCTCAGCAACCACTGGGCTGACTGAACTGAAACTTTGCATGCTGCATTTGTGGGCGGCTTTATAAGTGAGCTCAACTCAGTCATTGGACAGATATGGCCGCTCTTGGCAAATATGATTTCAACAGGCATTTGGGGGGCTTAGCATTGGCCAGTCTTCACAAAAATTGTACAAGGCGTCCACAAAGGCAATCGCTATTAGGCTATGAGGTTTGACCTCAATCGGCCATTAGGTGGCACTATACAAGAAACACAAGAATAAATACTATATATTTCATCATCCATAAAAATAAGTCACTTCATATAATGCCTTACACTGAGACTGACGTTTTGTCCAGTTCAACTGTATCATCAGCATTAACCGTTTAGTCCAGATAGGGTCGCGGTAGCAGTTGGGAGAACAGAGAAACCCAGATGACCCTTTTCCCCTTTTCAGTCCTCCAGCTCATTCCAGGGGACCCCAAGCCGCTCCCAGGCCAACCTGGAGATATAATCCCTCCAGCAGGTCCTAGGACGACCCCGGGGTCTTGTGCCAGTAGGCCATGCCTGGTAAACCCCAACTGGGAGGCGTCCAGGGGGCATCCGGATCAGATGCGCGAACCACCTCAACTGGCTCCTCTCAATGCGGAGGAGTAGCGGCTCCACTCTGAGCTCCTCACCCTATCAAGTAGAGTGTAGCCCACCCTGCGAAGAAAGCTCATTTCCCCGCTTGCACTCGTGATCTCATTCTTTTGGTCATTACCCACAGCTCATGGCCAGAGGTGAGGGTGGGGATGTCGACCGACCGGTGAACTGAGAGCTTTGCCTTATGGCTCAGCTCCCTCTTCACCACTACAGTCCGGTACAGCGACCGCATTACTGCTGCTGCCTGTCCCAGCCTGATGGTGTCCCATCTCACCATCCCTCTACCCATCGCTCGTGAACAACTCGTTGTTTTTTGTGCAATTGTTCAGTGTTCGAAAAATTAGCTTTATTTTATTCAACTCCTTCAAAGTAAGCAAAAAAATGACAAGGTTTATTCGTAACTTGGCACCACATGTTCTTCAGATCTCTTGTATGGATTTTTGGTTGTTCTGTCCTGCAGATTCTCATGTTTTGGTTTTTACCTCTTCACTCATCCTCAGTTCTGTTCTGCACCTTGTAGTTTGTGCGTAAAACAGTATTTCACTGTTTGCTGTGTCTAACAGAGGCAGCTCACTGTTCCAGTCTTGTTACGTCAACTTTATCATATTAAGTTTAGTCTGCTGATGCATGCAGCCACGTAAACACTCTCCTGATTAATGTATCAGTGCCTGCGAGCGTCACTCAGTGCTGCAGTCTTGTCTAAAATACCCTTTTTGTTGGATTTTGAAGAGTTATTTAAGGTTTTACGTGCTCATGTTTAGTCTGTCTCGGGGCAGCACTGTTTGTGGTTCAGTGTTTTTGGCTTTTCACAGTATCCACGGTTACAGGAAAACCCATACTGATGTCCACATTTATACCTGTGTACTTCCCACCCACCTCCGCTATACAGTTAGTCATACTGTGTTCTAATCAACAGGTCAGGTCACCTTAATGAAGAGCTGAACTTAAAATATAAACAAATCACGGACCAATCAGGAAATGGCTGCCTTACTTACATCTGGGACACTGATGTAATGTGTATGTTTTAGTCCCACGTTTTAAATATTCGCAGTCTAAAAAATGTAGTTAATATAGTTATAGCGCCCCCTGATGTTGGGCTTGGTTGTATCTGCTACGTTTTCTGAGCTAATTAGCTAACGCAAAACAGTATTGAACAGTATTCACTTTTAACCTCTAGTACTCTGACCATTAGATTTCCAGAAAAGATTTGGGTGACTATTGACTTTGAGTGTTTGGACTCAATGTTGGTCTTGTAGCTCCAGCTCTAAACTAAAGAAGCAAAGTTTGGAAACAGTTATAATCTTAAACCCTATTCGAGTTGGATTAGTTTTACCAGAGGAGGTCCGGTAATGTAATAAGTGTGTAATTTGACCGGCTAATTCATGTAATTTCCCCAAATTACCCCACATAGCCCAGATCGAAACACAATGTGTGGTTGTCCACCTCAGCATTATGCCACGAGCACAACACTTCCAAACAGTAACAACATGATGAGCAGCTAAATTCCATATAGATGAGCATTAGGCTAGTAAAGTGGTTCACTTAAATTACTGAATGCCACCCAACAAGACAGGAAAGTATCATTTTCCTTTACCTAGTATTTCAGCCATTGCCAAAAGTGTTGTGGATTTCAGTTGTCTCGTCATGAACTTGACACTTAAGGGTTAAATTGAGCTCCATTTTAGCTGATGGCATCGTCTTCAGGTCACAAAAAAAGAAAATAAGGGAAGGCGCAGTTTTCTATGAAGCTTAAGTCAGCTTCTTATTTGAATCTTCCTGGTTAAATTCGAACACGCAGCCGGAGAGGAAGCCAGCTTCAGTGTTGTCCATTTTGTATTAGCCGGTTTTATTATTAAATTACTGAGATGCTATTACTGAGGAGCTCTGAGTTTGGTGAATTGTAAAAGATAATTCACTCTGGAATTATTACTTAAAAGAATTGGCAGATTTAAACTGGATTAAATTCACATACTTCGTCTGCAATCCTTCAAATTACAGCACGTCCCCAGGTAATACTAATCCAACTCAAATAGGGCCTCAGCTGAGCGACTGCATCTGGAGTAAATGAAAAATTGTGAGTTTTATTTTTTTTTGCCGAGTGTGAATCCTAGCAGTACTGCAACCAGAAAAGTAGACGATACTGATAAAACCATGGGTTATCAAAATATCAGGTGATATCATCACCCAGCTGATATATCAGTTGGGTCCTAGTTTGTATGTAGGATGGTATTCGTGTGTTTTTCTCACACCTGAAGTGAAACATCTCTGCTTTCATGTGTTGCAATGTCAGGAATCTAAACACCCCCCAGCGCCCACTCCATCCACTCTGACGCCTGGAAACTGTTTTGATAGATTCTCTGCCCCGAGTCGGGTTAGCTGTGACTCTCATTTGAACACAAAATAGCTCACTGATGGTGAAGTCAAGGATTTGATATTTTGGGGTCAGGATGTGTGGGGGGGAAATTGCTGCCATTTATTTTTCCTAAGCGGTGCCTTTTGCTCTCTTTGTCCCTGTAAAGGTTAAGTGGTGAAGCTGCGTGGCTGTCAGCTCTTCTTGTCCAGGGAGGGAGGGGGCTTCGCCAGCCATGTCGCGAGTCCTCACCCCCCCTCCCCCGGGGGAGATGGCCAGCGGGCCGGTGGCTGAGAGCTGGTGCTACACACAGGTACGATTATGGTAATCAGCTGGTTTCTGCACAGGTGAGGTTTCTGCTTCTGTGGACATGTGCATTCGGCATAGGTGTCTGCTGATATATGTGGGTCACTCTCCATCTGGAGTGAGAATTCAGGTGGATACATTTTAAAAAATCTATTCCTTTCATCCCAAAACTAAATCATCTTAATATGTCCATTGTCATCTCCTATTATCATATATGCAGAAAGGAGCTTAATTCAAACATATTTTACAGTCACTGGTGTTGTATGAATATGGTGTAACACCAGTGACGGTGACTCCAGTGACATTTTGGTTAAGACTGAGGATTCTGTAAATTGGATGACTCATTTTTGGTCAGGTGACCTTGTGCAACTATTTAAAATCAGTAAAAAAAAATTATATTTGGCATTATTTTAATAATTTTAATTACCCATTCATTAAAGCACATGACTCAACCTCCAACAAAATATCTGACCTGAAAGTATATCGTCGTCCAGTCTACAGACTACAGTTTAAATTGCAATTTTTTCTATAAATTCAGTTTTAAGCCTGGTTTGTGGCCAAGTAGACCAGAATGTCATCGCTGACCAAAGAAAAACAAGTATCTCCAAAATAGTAACTTTACAGGAGAGGGCAAAAACACTCCTACCTTTCAATGTAAGTTAATTTAATGAGATTTTTTTTCAGCTGAATTTAGAGCATTTCTAGAGGTCCGTTCATCAATTTTCACAACTTTCACAGGACAGCCGGTGTGTTAAAATGATATAGAAAAATAAAAATCAACAAAATGGGAGATACATGGTTTTCTTTGGACAGCGATGATATCCACCCTTTCTGGCTTAAGGTCTGAAACCTGAATGTAGGATGCTAGACTGTCAGTAAGTTGTGGTTGTGATGTCACGACTCGTGGAGGTTTGGTTGGATTTGATTGGTCTAACTCATCTACAGGCAGTTCACAAGCTCTGTGGTTAAATTTCCCCACTTAAAACTCAAGACAGCTTTTTGATAATGTGGGCTATTTTAATAATGACGGCTCCTGCGATTTGAAAATTGGACTCAATGTAAATTTTGATTTTGATATGAAAATGCTTAATCTTTCAGCTCTAAAATGCTGTATTGATAACGGTATTGAAGAGGATTCTCGGCCGGTCAGCGTAAGGAGCATCCTGCTGTTCGTGTTTACAGCTCTTTTTCTGTAAACGTGCTCAGATTGTGTGCTGGTGGTGTGGAAATCTCACGATAGTATTGTGCAATAGGTCGGGGGGGTCTGATTGGGTGATCGCACACAGTATCACCATCCTGGGGAACTGTGAACGGTCTAGCTGCTTGACTAATACTGTTTGAGGTTTTAATATTGATTATGTACTGCTGAATTGATTAGGTTTGGTTCAGTGTTTCCTCTTCTCGTTCTCAAAGCTGCAGTGCATCTATTTTAGGAATATGTGATAGAATTCCTAGGGGTGTAGGTGTTTTGGGAAAGTGTGCCGATTGTATTTTAAGGTTCATATAGATAAGCGCGTCATAATCTTCTGTCTGTTTTGGGGATGAAATAGGCCTGTAAGCAGCTCTTAATTTATAACTCAACAGGCTTTGTGACTTTCTTTGGGGGCTGATATGTATTATTGCTGCTTGTCAGTAAATTAATGCTATAAAAAAAGCTTTTTTTTTCTTCAAATTGTAGGTAAAAGTAGTGAAATTTTCCTACATGTGGACCATTAACAACTTCAGCTTCTGTCGAGAGGAGATGGGCGAGGTATTAAAGAGCTCCACTTTCTCGTCAGGTCCAAACGATAAGATGAAATGGTGAGTGTTTTTTTTTTTTTTTATCCCAAATTAAATTTATTAATTAATTCATTTGTTATATAGTGATTTTTGTAGTAGGCATTGTTCATGTCAGCTTTATCAGACTAAGTAAGCTGTTTGTTCTCTCCAGGTGCCTGAGAGTCAATCCAAAGGGACTCGACGATGAAAGCAAAGACTACCTGTCATTGTATTTGCTCCTGGTTAGCTGTCCAAAAAGTGAAGTCAGAGCAAAGTTCAAATTTTCCTTACTCAACGCTAAGCGTGAAGAGACTAAAGCTATGGGTAAGAATCTTTCCCGCCTTAAACACCACAGTGCCCCTTGTAAATAATGTGAGATACTAAATGCACCCGCTGGGCGTGCAAGCCCATGATACACTGCACAAACAGTCAGTGCCCAGAGCTGAATGAAGTTCTCATCTTTTGAAGTCACAATAACCGTTTGACAACTGGCTTGGCAGTCTGACTCTTCACGCAGTGCATCGTGGGTATTCATGCCAGTATCTTCCAAAAAATATCAGAGAGGTCATCCAACACCAACAGTGAACCAACATGTATATTCTGAGGGTTTTTTTTATTGTTTTGAAAGAAAACTTTATTTTTTTGCAAAAAAAACTAAGTAAACATAGCCAACAAGTAAAGTGGCCAATCAGCCAATTTAGGCTTCTGTTTTAATAGTTTCAAGACAATTCAATCGATAATCACAATTATTTATGGCAATTAATCGTCAGCTCAAATTTATTACACAATTATTACATAATCGCCTAATTGCAATTATTTTTGATGATTGTAATTCTCATTTTCCACATGCGATTTCACAGTAATGTTAATCTGCAGCAAACAGAAGGTGAATTGTGTGGCAAGTAAATGTAAATAAAAGAAAGCAGTAAATGGGTTCATTGAGACATCATGGGACTCATGAAAAGGAAAAAAGCTCTAACTTGGTGCTCTAACGTTTAGAGGGCTGTCCTGAGTTATGTTTATTTGTTAGCTGTGTAGCTAGTTCTGTTGCTTTTCGCATGCAGGCTAGCAGAAAGAGCGTTTCTTGCTTATATTTTCACATTTAAGAAACCGTGTAAGCTTTACCTGAATACACACAGCTCTGTGTAACTGAGACATTGTAGGAGTACCATTCAACAGTATACCAGCTTCACCCAGCAAGATGGCTAATAGGCTAGTTTGGCCACTTTTGGCTTGTACTTTAATAGATGCCTATAATGAACAAGAAAAGACCATTAAATTGTTAGTTGCAGTTACTTATGCAACAATTGTAGCAGCCCTACCTTCTCCATGAATGTATTTTAAAATATGTTTTGGGTCCAAAGCCATCTCAGACATCAGGCGGTGAATTCATAACCAATTTCATGTAATAACTTGCTGTATGGGAGCTTTTAGAGGCTCATTAGCTATTTTTGAGCCTTTGATGAAGTGAGTTGAGCAAGGAATACTTAAATGTGAGAACTGCTGTTTAGTCTTTAGTGTCTGAGTATTCAGATAGGGATAGGACAGTTTGTAACTATATACTGTGGTATAAACAAAGTCCTTATAGGAGAGTTTGTCCACTGGACAGCCATCTTTGCAACTCCACTGGGAAGTTATTTCCAGTTATACAAGACCAAGACAAGACTTTTATCTGTCTGAACAAGACATAAAACGGAAACTCTTTTTGTTAAGGGACGGGCCCACGCCAGGACAACAGATGTGTACACTGTGTGTGTGTGTATATATATATATATATATATATATATATATATATATATATATATATATATATATATATATATATATATATACCTTTTTTTGTATGTATGTGATATTAGATATTAGATTAGATAAAATAAATCAAATAAGATGCCAAAATGAAAGCGATCTGGTTTAGGTCGCTTGTATATTCCATCCCATATAGTCACTGTCTGACAAATTTACACTGTACAGTGCTTTTTGGATATTCATGCCAGGATTATTAGCCTGAGTGCTGTGGTTTGTGAATTGGTTCAAAGTAAACTGACAATTTCAAAGTACTAAATCATTAAATCATTAAAATCAGTTGAAATGTAAACTGTTTTTGAAGCAACATTTTGGTGCCCCTGGACAGTCACTCAGGTCGCCTATACGGTAGATCCGGCCATGTATTTTAACCGTGGCACAATGATCTTTGCAACACATCAGCTCTGTGATGGTAGCATGCCTGTTGCTGTGTTTGGCACGTCACCACTGTAACCACTAGGGTTGCGTTGTATCTGTTGTTTGTAGAGTTGCGCTGTATCTATCCAGTTCTGTTTAACCATTTTGCACAATAAAATATATTTACATGCACTTCAGTTGTTATATAGGATTCTTAGATATCAGTGCTGTAAACATCATCGTGCTACATAATGAATGAATCTCCTTCTTTTCCCTGCAGAAAGCCAAAGAGCCTACCGCTTCGTCCAAGGCAAAGACTGGGGCTTCAAAAAGTTTATTAGAAGAGATTTTCTGCTCGATGAAGCAAACGGGCTCCTACCTGATGACAAGCTCACTCTATTCTGTGAGGTAACGTTTACCGGTGTGTCTTTCTTAACGTTATCCCTCATCATCTCCCCCTCATGTGCTAAAATAAGCTGATCGTGGTTTCTGTCTGATACAGACGAGAAGGCCATTAGGAAATGCGTTGTGAGTTTCGTAAATAATTTGCAGAATTAGCAGGGAGCACTGAGCAACCACTGACGGATTACATGAAGTATAAGCTGCTGATACTGTCTGGTCACGTTAGTTTTATTGAAAAGTATTGACTGTCGCGTATGACAACAGCTGAAATACGGCATTGTGCAAAAGTCTCAGGTGCACAGTTTCACATTGTTTAGAACTATTTCGCATGTAAAAACACCATATATCACTGGATTAAATGTAAATAGACAAATACAGTGAAAGTTAACAATATTTTTTTTTTTGTTTTCCTGAAAAGTAGTTGATATGAGCTAGTTTGAGGAACAGGTTTAGTTCCAGATTCCTCCAGCCATCGTATAGTTTTGCTTAATTCCATTAGTAGCACATTTGATTTAATTTAATGCAATATTGAATAGATAAACCAAGTATTAGGTGATGAATACAGTTAATACATGTGATACTGGTTCAACAGACACATCGACTACATGAAGTCACTACTTATTGTATTTATCTTATTTGTATTTTTTGTAATATTAGTGTTTTTCTGAGTAAATAAATGCTTGATGACCAGAGAAACAGCTTTTTAAATCTAATTTAAGTCTTTTGCACATTATTGATTTGTGGTTGGGACTAAACTGTACAGGAATTCCGTTGTGAAACTACACACTCTCTCATAGGGCTGGGCTGTGTTGTGTATATTTACAGTACAGGGTGATTCAAAAAGATTTATCCGATTTCAAAATGATTTATTTCACTTTTCATACAACAGTTAGTTCCGGCTATGCATGCTGATTGGTTGAGAAGCGTTTTTTCACAAACGCTATCACTCTGCTGAGGTGCCGTTGCTAAGCAACAACTTTGACAGCTGTAGGAGACGCTCAAGCCATTTGAACGTTTTCACTTCTTACTTTGCCACAAACAGAAAATGGACACTTTTAAGATCACATTTGACCGACAGCCGATTTGGTCAGACTCTGAAGATGAGACGACACTAAATTCCCAAACTGTCATCACCACTGAGCAGCTTTTCAGTCGGCAGCTGAGACAGAAGAACAGCTGAACAACCTGGAATCAGCCAGAAATGAACCCAACACCATTCGCCAAACTAAATGGGCTGTAAGATGCTTTACAGACTGGCTGGAACAAAACAACATGAATACTGATCTGGAAAAACTGACAAAACTGAGCTGAACTTGATATTGCGGCAGTTTTATGGCCCAATCTGATTTGGTCAGACTCTGAAGATCAGACTACACGTTTGGCGAATGGTATTGGGTTCCTTTCTGGCTGATTCCAGGTTGTTCAGCTGTTCTTCTGTCACAGCTGCCGACTGAAAAGCTGCTCAGTGGTGATGACAGTTTGGGAATTTAGTGTGTGGAGCTGGAGAACGAACTGCCGGCTGTGCAGCGAGTGGGCGGAGCTCGTTACTCTGACGTAGCAACAAGCTGCTCGTTAAGGAACTATAATTTGGTGAAGGAACTGCGAACATTAAAACATATTAAACGCCGCGTTCACGGCCCAGTTTATTAATTTAGTACTGTATTTATTTAACTGTTGTATAAAAGCAATAGAACATTCGAGGAGTTTGTTATCACCAATAACATCACGGCTGTGATGATCTACGGCGACCAAATCACAGCCGTGATGTTATTTCACGATACACACTCCCTCTGTGTTCTGTTGCTTAAATAAATCATTACAGATCAGTGCAGTAAACTGTAAATGGTTTAAATGAGCATAAAGTTTATTATGTAATTGTACAAGGTCTCAGTATGAACCTCCTCCAGCTGTACGAACAACATCAACGCCATAGTCAAACTCATCCCATACTGGATTGAGCATGTCGGGTGTCGCTGCACTCACGGCGCTTTCAGTGCGATTTCGGAGATCATCCAGTGTTGTGGAACCAACGATGAACGCTCCGAGCTGTTGGAGGTTCACTGCCATACTGACAGTCAGAAACTCTGCGACCCCCCCTCTTTCAGTTGGGTTGTGATTGGTTCCTAGGCGCCTCACGGTTGTATGATATGGCACTTTGAAATCGGATGAATCTTTTTGAATCACCCTGTACTTAAATAACACTGACCAACTGCATGTTTACAAAGTGAACACGATGGCTGCATCCATCGTTTATATGATAATCTTTGTGTATTTTTTACTTGGTGTAAAATAAAACGCAGACCATGGAGCAGAAAACCCCACAAACATAAATAAGAGGGCTCTGTGTAGCAGCTCAGGCCGTGCTTTCAGGCGAGCGTTGTCATTGGCTCAGTTTATCAATAGTCGACATCAAATTTAATGATGTTGAAAGGAGTCAGCTGCCCCATTTCCCCAATTTCTGCTCGTTATCTCCTGCTTCTTTCGTCTCTTTGACTCCTCCTTGTTTTAAGGGTGAGAGAGGAGCAGTAGAACGGGAGGAGGAGAGAAAGTGCAATAGCAGAAGTTTCTGGACGCAGCCAATTACATACATACATACATACATACATGATGTTAGATTTTTGCTACATTACCACCACCACTGTCATGTAAATTTATGTATAAATGGATAGTCTGACCTGCTGCCGGGCTCAGGTTTTATCTGGCGTTGCTCCGATGGGTCTCACCACAGCCTGCCAGCTGTTTTTAATGGATCGTTTTGCCAAACTGGTTCAAATTCAGAGCTAAAAACACATTTGGGACTTTTAACTGACTTAGACTTTAGACTAAAGTCCTTTTGCTCTGAGTGACTCTAAAACTTATTTATCTTTATTTTATTAAAACTAATGATTGAACTTTCCATTTTGTCACTACTAAAACAATCATAACTCTATCCAAACTTTACCAAATATTTCAGTAGTGACCGTTTCAGTGACAATTTTGGTTCTTTTTGAGCTCAGAAACTCCAGTACACGACCAGCAAACACAGCTTTGAACAGCTGTTCACACAGAAAATCATCGTATTTTATTAATATACATAAAAGTGCTGAACTTCAGAAAATCTTTGTTTCATTAGTGTGGAACGTTAAAAATTAGCACTGATTTTCAGACTTTGGGACACATTTACTTCAAAACAATGCGGTCAAACTGCTCACCATGTGGCCATGAGGGACAGGGATGCAGCCTCACTTCCTGCTTTAAAATGTAGGGGCGTGGCTACAAAAGGATCCGCCCACAGACTAAAACTCTGTGTTTCGTTAGTGACGTGAAAACATGAGGCAGCATTTTTTTTTAATAGTTTATTTTATTTAGAAATGAAACCCATCTAACCCAATCTAAATCTTAAAAAAGAATCAAAAATAGCTTCTAAAAAACAACAGTAAAAATGAAGTGTAAGCATCATTATATAGAAGTGTAAATTTTAAATTATAGGGGTTAGGGTTTGGGACCTCTCCCAATAAAAAAGTACCCTCTAAATGATGAGTTTGTATATCACTGCTGTTGGAAGAAAACCTCGTATCTCCAAAATGAGAACTTTTACAGGAGAAAGGAATTATTTTTAATGTACGTCAATGGAACCAGACTTTTTTCCAAGTCAGTTTGGGACATTTTATTTTTTATTGTTTTTCAAGCAGTTATCTGCCAACACGGATATGATTCCAATCATCATACATGCCTAATGTATGTACCAAAATAAATAGTAATTCAATTTATATGTTAATATATATATAAATATATACTATATATGTAATCCTTAGAATTAAACAGGGGTTTTTTGTTACTGTGCCTTTAAGACTGAGATGTAAATGAGCTCTATTCTGATTGGCAGTACCTCATTCAAAAAGCAGTCCGGGCTGAAACACTACTTATAACTTCCGCATGAGTGGGCGGCGCTAAACTGATATAGGCTGAATAGACATGTATATAAATATCGCTGCTGTCGGAAGAAAACCTCGTATCTCCAAAATGGTAACTTTACAGGAGAAGGAAAAAACTACTTTACTTTTAATGTAAGTCAATGGAACCAGACATTTTTGTCAAAGTGATTTTGGTCCATTCATCATGAAATTTACATACAATGTAAAGGACAACAGGCGTTTTCAAATTATGTGAAAAACAGAAAAACACCAGCAATATATTTAGTTTATTGCTATCTCTATTAATGCCTTGTTGAAATACATTATAGCATAATGTGTGTAAATATGTAAAGTCTTAATACTTCATTGTTTTTTTTCTATGTACTGTAAAATCACTGGTTTAACTGGTTTGAGAGGATGGTCCTTATACGCTCTGCAAGAGAAATAACAGTGAAGTGAATGTTTATGACCTACAGAGGAAACCATAATCGCTGGCTGCCCTGCAGTCCTGTGAGTGGGCGGGGCTAAACTGCTGTATGCTGAATAGATAGATGTGTGAGAAGTTTTGATTCTCAACATCACAAACAATAAGTTGAAAACAGGCTGTTTTTCAGGCCGTATGGACGGAGGAGTGAACAGTACGTCTTCAAACGTGTTTACATGCCTCATCAAAACTCTTTGTGCTTTTCAAAAATGGGCTTTTTAAAAAAAAAAAATCTGAAATTTGGTTTTTCCATTAAATGGGTTCTTCCATCATTGGCCGCTGTGAAAGAACCCCTTATTCCTAACTGTGCTGTTCTTTTGAGATCAGTTAGTTCCTCACTTGGCTGCATATTTGTGGCGATGTTATCCGTATTGTTTATAAGTCTCTCTCAGTAGCCATGTGGCCGAGTCGAGTCGGCTCTGCCTTTCTGAAGGTGCGAGTAAATGATAGGTTGCGGTGGGCGTGGCTACAGTCCTCTCCGAACGACAGGTTCTTCAGAACAGCCCGTCAGCCTCCTGTTCAAAGCCTCTTCCTAGAAAAGCGAACAATAAAAAAGCAGAAAAAAGAGCGGCGCAGTGAATTTGCGGATAATTAAGAGGGTATTGTCTGGAGAGAGAGCCTGTGAGCCCGATGAGATCTGCAACAAGGTTCAACATTTGCTGGGAAATTGGCAATTTAATAAAGCAAATTAGATGCAAATTGCAGATAGACTGTTTCCCATCATTAATTGGGCAGCACTTCATATGAGGAAGAGGGAGCCGCAGCGGCTGTTAAGCTACTGCAGGTGGCTTCTCTGCCCGAGGACCAGCTAATCACAGAGCTTCTCTCCGTTCGTTTAAAGACGCTCCTTTGTTTTCAGTAATGAAAATGTTCAGTTGGTCGTTTAGAAAAATGAACATTACTCAGCAGTGGTGAGTGTGGGGTGTTAGATGTTGCTAATGGAAAGGCTCATGGTGAGCTGTGTGCTGGGAACACTGGGAAGTAGAATTATGGTTTTCACTGCTCCTTTAAGTGATGTTAAAATATAAAGCTGCTTTGTGTTTTGCTGCAGCTTGTTATGGTGTTCACAGTTATAGTCGTATTGAACGATTGGACGGTTGCCCCACAGTTGGGCCTGGATGTTAGGGTGGTGTCATCGGATATTACCAACAACTGACCCAGTGGCATTGCTTAAAAGGAGATGATCGCTGTTACATGCCCCTGTTTTGTATCTAGTGATAAAGGGGAACTAAGTGGAGTATGTGATGAGGGGTGGAAGAGCGAGACACGGACAACGGGAGTACCACGTTTAGACAATTCTTTACTTTTTAAAAAGTAGAAGTGTAATACAATATACATTCATCTTTAAAGGCTTTGTAGTGAAATAGGAAAATGAAATAGGACATTTCAACAATAAATAAAAAGAAAACATCCAGCTCGACAACGTCAGTAGAGTAACCGGCTAACAAGATTCATTTATAAGGCTCAAAGTGATGGAAAAGTCAGGTTTGCCATCAGCACTGAAGGCTGAATGCTGGGTGTAAGGGTACTGCATACAAAGCCAGTAGCAATGGTGGATGACGGACAGTGCCAAAGCAGTGCAATAAATAAAACTTCTAACCTGCCTAATTAGAGCTAACCTGCACAAAATACAGCGAGGCACTCGTCCCTCACCTAGTGTGTCTATACAAAGAGATATTACAAAGTGATAGATGTAAAAGTGCCCAAACTGCCTGTCCACTCAAGGAGAGACACAGAGAGAGAGAGACAAAGTGAGGCCAAGGCAGAACTATAAGCTAACTTGGCTACAAATCTAACAACAAACCTAAAGGCCTCACAAACACACGCCTGGCCCTCTTTACATGTTCCCAGCTCAGCCTTTTATCTTCAAACACCCGCCCCTATTCAGTCAGCTGCGATTCCAATTGGAGCCTGAGGGTTGAATTCTGGTTGGAGGGCCGAACGCCACCAACACAGCCATTGGTAGGGTTGTACCTGTCAGGAAGTGAGGTAGATAGAAATGGGCGGGGGGAGTTTGAGGGAAGAAGAAGAAAAAAAAACGAAACAAAAAAAAAACATACATGCCGTCCTGACATGTAATAATCGCTTTAAGCTTAACAGGAAAACAAAGGAAGATATGGCTCGCAGCTTTAACATCGGCTTAAAAAAACATTGCACGGAGGTGGCTTCCCCCGCATAAGCCAAGGCTACGTTTGCACAGCAGGTAAAAGTGGCCCAAATCTAATTTTCAATTCACCAAATCCGATCTTTTTGTTTGGCTGTTCGCATTAAATTTGAACTGTGATCTGTGTGCAACATCAGTCTGAACAGATCAGCTCCTAAACTGACCCACATGCACAAAAGATCAGAGCGTCACGCTGCTTCACGGCTCATCCAGAGGTAAACAAACACGACCGCCAACGAACGCCAGTCGCTCCCGGAGGATCAGCTTCATCTTCACCAGCATCACAGGAGCCATCATGAAGCTTCACTGACTGACAGCTGGGCTCATCACCCAGAATGTGTTCGAGCTGTAAAATAAAAAAGGGTGCGGTCACTTCTTTGGTTCACGTCCTCGGATTCTTTAAACTTTTTTCTTTGACGCTGCAGCCTCGTTCTCGTGGAGTTGGATTGATATAAAAGTCGCATGAATTCCGATCTGGCTGTTCAGACTGAGTCGCACTGCCGCAGATCGGATACGTATCGGATTTCAGTACCACATATGAAAGCGTCTTAAATCGGAATTGAAAATGTCAGATTCAGTGTGTTTATCTGTTCACAATGACACATAGACACACATCTGTGTCACATACAGATCAGATTTGGGCCACTGTTACCTGCTGTGTGGACAAAGCCTTAATGTACGACTGGCTGTTTCACAGTCTACATGACAGTTACGTTAGTATTGACCACAGCTGGAATTAATAAAGTTAAAACATCTACTCTTAAAACACGGAGACAGATTTGTTTTGGTGTGATAAAAAGATTGGAACAGATATCATGATGTACATTTTAACGGCCAACATCCTTTTTTAATCTCATTCTTTACATTTAAATCTTATTTAGTAAATTGTTAGAAATACAGAAAAAGAGATGGATGAACCAGAGGGCTGGGCCGGAAAGGGGATTGTTTTTGATTTCCTTTCATTCTGTATTATTCTGAAAAAGATCTGCTTGATTAACAGAAAATAAAAATTTAATTGCGAAAAATAACTGACTAACTAGATAAATAACTAGAGAGGACACATTTACCATTAAACAGGTAAATACGTTGGGAAATTGGAGTTCACATTTGTTTAAGAAGTGAGAGAGATGAGAGAGCACGAGCTTCTCCTTCCACTTGATTTACTGTATGTTAAGTTTAGCTTGAGTGAATGGAACCAAAAGTAAATGCAGACATGCTTTGTAACTCCAGCTTGCTTCATTGTGGCTTACTGCAGTGAAATAACCCAGCTAAAGTGACCCTCAAGGGTTCTTTAGTAAAGTCTGTATAGAACCATGAGCACTCAGAACTTTTCACATGATTAAAGGGTTTTTTGCATCATGAACGGGTTCTTCAGATTGATGGAGAATGTGCTGTAGATGGTTCTATATAGGATCTTTTGTAAAAAGGTTCTATATAGAACCTGCTGTTGCTACAGTGTCAAGCTTGTCACAGTAGAAGAACCCTTTCCTGTACTGGAGGAGATGCCAGTGATTATCCACTTCCCTAACCTCCATCTCCCTTCCTGTCTGCCTGTCTCAGGTGAGCGTGGTGCAGGACTCTGTGAACATCTCGGGCCAGTCCAACATGAACATGCTGAAGGTTCCGGAGTGCCAGCTGTCGGATGATCTGGGGAACCTGTGGGAGTGTTCTCGTTTCACAGACTGCTCTCTGTATGTAGGAGGGCAGGAGTTCAAGGCCCACAAATCCATCCTGGCAGGTAAAGCCACCCAGCACATTTTAATCCACGCGCAGACCCTGCTGACTGCTGCAGGACTGCAGCCGCAGCATCAGCGCTCACCTCTGAGTCCCCTACAGAGGGGTGGGGGGGGGGTTATGTGGGGGGTGTTTTGTACTTTTTGATATAGTAAAACCGGAGAAATGCAGTTCTAATCTACACAGCCAACAAAACGGTGCCCCCCACCACAAAAGCTCTCATTTTACACAAACTATAATTCTTTTTTGGTTCCTGAAATTAAGATTAGCTTTAGGGTAAATCTTACTGTGTGTGTATATATACTCCACAACTTGAGGGGCTCCACAAGAAATGCCAGATCTTTTTGATGAATGATTTCCCATTGAAATCATGAACTGTCTGTTACCTAAACATGATTTAAACCATTCTAAAACTGTACCTGAGAGGCTGACCCAGCATTCAAGACGCTGGATTAAAATCTTGTGGTCAACGTTATCAAAAGCTGCATCAACATACAGCTTAGTTATTCAAGCAGTTTGGGCCGTAGGTATGGTTAATTATAACAATAATTCTAATAGAAGTTAGTAATAGTTACGTATTTTAATGGACAATGCAGACATTTGTATTATATGAATAATGCAATGCAGACAGAAACCTCTTTCACCTAGCGACGCATGTGTGTTGTGCCTTATGTCTGGTGTGCAATAACAAGTGTCGCGGAGTGGTTCTGGCTTACCGCTCACGCCGCATCACATCTGGTGTGAAATCGGCTTAAGGGCTCCTTCCACTCTCTCTGCTTCTCTAACCTCTGACCACACTAACAGATCCTTCACCTTTTGTCATTGACCAAACCGTAATTATTTAAAGCCAAGAGCTTGCCTGATCTGTCCATTCAGAAGTGACTATTTATGGAAAATATCCCCCAACCTGAAAGAGAACCACCAAGTCTTGGTGTGATGTTGAGGTCTGGACTCTGAGGCAGTCAGTCCATTGTTCAGAGCACACCAGCAGCCTTTTTGTTAGATTTGCATATGTAATATTTTGGTGTGAATGATCATAATTTTTACCCAGCTAAGGCAGTGTGTGATGGTCATAGGTGTGAGCGTAAGGGACGCACGTATGAGACACATGTCTTCAGACTAGAAACATTTAGCACCAGAGAAGCTAGTGCATGCTTACATGTACACTTCATAGGTTTATATATATCGCTCCTGTTGGAACAAAACCTCGTATCTCCATTGTGTGTGTAAATTTCATGATGAATGGACCAAAAGAAACGGCCCAGAATGAAATAAAAAAAATGTCTGGTTCCATTGACTTACATTAAAAGTAGAGTATGTTTTTCTTTCTCCTGTAAAGTTACCATTTTGGAGATAGAAGGTTTTGTTCAGACAAGACCAATATATATTTTTGAGTTCTGTTTTTGCTATTTTGCACAATAAAAAATATTGAAAATATGCAGTTGTTAAATATGGTTCTTTTAGTTGAGAATGACCTGTCGCTTTTAATAGGTCACTGTAAAATATGGGTAGCGATGTACAAAGTTATTAAAACAAATAGCAAACGTGTCCTTGCATGTTTGCACAGGTGTACTGGTGTGTCTATGGCTCTGACCTTGACTGCTGTACTTTTACGTTCTGATGTTGCGATTCTACAGTGTAACATTTCCTTAATTCATCAAACTGGGAATTCGCCCCACCAAACACTCCGGGAAATCATGATTTATCTAACTGAACAGGTTTTAGGTGACTCTGTGACTCTGTAAGCATAATCAAAGGTCAAAATGAAAAACAGCCAGAAAGTCAAAACAGTAAAAAGCAGAAATAACTTGCTGGTTGTTTGTGCCTCAGTTTTCACCCCCAGCTCCGCCTCTGTGGCTCCAAATGGTTTATACGTAGAGAGATGCTCATATGATGTGACTGACGGATTTATTGCTTCTTTGACAGCGAGATCGCCGGTCTTTAATGCCATGTTCGAACATGAAATGGAGGAAAGCAAAAAGGTGTGCTTTCTCTTGATATTACCTAGACCCCTAATATTGATCCTGATATTTGAAAGCACTGTTTTATCTTTAACTTTTTTTTTCTTTCTGCACACACAGAACCGGGTGGATATCAGCGACATCGACCCAAATGTCTTCAAAGAAATGATGGGTTTCATTTACACAGGAAAAGCACCGAATCTGGAAAAAATGGCTGACAGTTTATTGGCAGCAGCCGATAAAGTAAGTGATTGTGCATGTTTGTTCTTCAGCGTTCATCGTGCAGTAAGTTCATTAAAAAGTCTGGTATAAGAAATATTGTTCATTCTAGCTTGTAATTTGGTATATTAGGAGTTTCTATTAAGTTCTGTCACCATTTGTAGAAATATGGCTGAACAGTTGTATACGAAAGTTTGGGCCTACATGTTTTGTTGATTTCCTAAGTAAAAACAAGTCTATAAAAACATCTGCATGGAACAAAAAATAAAACAGTTGTACTCACATTAATGATTAATGCACGGTTGCCATTTATTTGATATATATATATATATGTGTGTGTGTGTGTGTGTGTCGTCTACAGAAAACTTAAATGTGGGATTTTTCTGCAACTATTAGTGCACAGTTTCCATTTATTTGCTGAATATAAAATATTGGGGGGTAAACACAGCATAAAATATAAAATGTGCCAAAACATTTGCACAGGCCTCATGTTTGTGTTATTATTTGCCTGCAATATGTCAGATTTAGTAAACAGTAATTGTGCATTAAATGTGTAGAACTAACTATATATATATATATATATATATATATATATATATATATATATATATATATATATATATATATATATATATATATATATAATCCCTTTTCCTTTTTTTTTTAACTTTTTCATTTTGGTAGTCTTGCTTCTTTCATTTTTGCATATATTTATCACCATTTTTGTTTTGTCGCCCTGATATATTCTGTGTTTTTCTGCTCAGTGGTAATGTTTAAATTGCGCTTGATTTAATAAAAAAGGAATTTTAGTTTATTTCCTGTGATATGGGCCATTTAGGAAGTGAGAAAGTGACCCCACTTCACCTCAGACCCCCAGACTTTTGTGTCAGTAGAAAGCTGTTTGTCAGAGCTGGGTTTTAACAGAGTATATAAATATATAGATCTGTGTGTGTGGTTGTTCTTGCAGTACGCTCTGGAGCGTTTAAAGGTTATGTGTGAGGAGGCCCTGTGCAGCAGTCTGTCTGTAGACAACGTGGCCGACACCCTCATCCTGGCAGACCTGCACGGCGCCGAGCAGCTCAAAGCGCAGGCCATCGATTTTATCAACAGGCAAGCATCACTTAAAGCAAACTACTCCGCTTGATAAATCCCCGCTGCCATGGCTGTTTACCCATGCTGAATGCTAGTGGCCTGTATTTCTCTGTGTCTTCCTGTAGGTGCAGCGTTCTCCGACAGCTGGGCTGCAAGGATGGCAAAAACTGGAATAGCAAGTATGTAATTAGCTGATGTTTGTGTGACACAAGATTAATAACTAACTCTTATCGGCCCGGGCGAGATGCATTACGATTCATTGTTTTAGGTTTTTGGGCAGCAGCCTGCGCTCGGCTGGTTCCTCCGTATCTCCAGATCCGCATTATTAATAGACTCCGACTCGCTCCAAGCTTTGGAGAAGGGAACAGTTCTGGAATATTAAGACACAAAAATGTCTCAGTTTAAAGATTTTTTTCCCACCTTCTGCTGTGCTTTTCTCTGACCTGGAGAAATGCCTTTTTTCATGTTTGCTAGGGATGGATGTGGTTATTCGAAAATGCTGAAATTCATCATATTATTCATTTACAGTTTAATAAGACATGGGAAAAATAAGTAGTCTCGTGTGTGCGACAGATCCACAGAGATTTCTGGACATAACTAACTGATACTGCGTCTCTTCTTAAGTCAAATGGACGCAAGTAAGCATACCGGATAAATATAAAGATGGTACTCATGATGTTTTTTTTTTTGTAAATTTGTGAGTTATCATCCTGTAGGTCTAACTAAATCTGCTTAAAACGTGAAGATAAATAACTGAACATGAAGATAAAGTCTGCCTAAAACACAAAGATAAATGACTAAATCTTTTTAAATGCAAAAGTAAATTACTAAATCATCATAAAAGGCAAAGATAAAACACTAAATCAGCTTGAAATGCAAAAATATATCACAAAAGTAACCTAAAATCCAAAAGTAGGTCAGTAAATTTGCTTCATCAAATACTAGCTGCACAAAATAAATATTACAAACCCAATTCCAAAAAATTTGGGACAGTATGATTCATGTAAAACCAGAAAGCAGTGATTTGCAAATCCACTTTGACCTTTATTTAAACTGAACCAGTACAAAGACAAGATATTTAAGGGTTATCAACTTCATTGTTTTGTGTAAATATACGCTCATTCTGAAATTGATGTTTTCAACGTACTCCAAGTTAGGATGGGAGCAATTTAAGACTAGAAACATTGTTAAATGTTCAGAAAACATTTTGAAAGAGGAAATGTAATAATGTTTGGGTACAAAAGAGCATCCAATAAAGGCCGAGTCCTTCATGAGCAAGGGTGGGCCAAGACCCGACACTTTACCAAAAGAAAAAATCTGACTGTTTAAGAACAACATTCATTAATGAATGTTGGCAGTTTTGTGCATCCCTCTGTGATGTACAATATCATTAAAAGATTCAGGAATCCAGAAAAATCCCTGCAAGGCCAAAAACTACAACCACTGGCATGCTTTTGTCATGGATATCACCACATAGGCTCGGGAATGCTGTTGTCAATAAACAGTTTTCATCACTGCATCCGCAAATGCAAGTTAAGACTGTACTATGCACAGTGCAGGGCATATAACACCAATGTCCAGAAACACGTCCAACTTCTCTGGGCTCAAGCTCATCTGACTTGGACTGATGCTCAGTGGAAACGTGTATTGTGGTCTGACGAGTGAACCTTGTTTATGGAAATAATGGGCATTGTGTTCTCTGGGCCAAAGAAGGAATAGACCATCCAGATTGTTACCAGCGTAAAGTTTAAAATCCAGTGTTTGTCATGGCAAGCAGGGTACCATTTGTACTTTTTTCAGTTGAATAGATATAATTTACTATGACTGCTTTCTGTTTTTATCGTTTCACATACTGTCCCAAATATTTTGGAACTGGGATTGTAATAATGCTTTAAAATTTATGTATGTATGAATGTGTGTATGTGTATATGCAGGCATGCTCTGTAAAGAAAAAAAAAACATGAATTTTTACAACAGTATCTAACAGTAATTAATATTTTGCATATTCTGTATACATTTTTCAGCTGTTTCTTTGACTTTAAAGGTCATCGCTGTAACCTTTACCTTAGGCAAAAAACAAAAATTTTAATAATACACAATCACCGTATGTTATTGCGCCAGGTATCAGTAAACCAAATATTTTAATGCTATATATCCTGCAGTATTGAGCAGCAGTTTGTTGTTGCAGCTCTTCGTGATGTGTTTATTGCAGAATTTAAAAATGATTAATCGCGCAGCCCTGTTATATTTTATCTTGCAGGACATCTTTCTAAAGCAGTGTCTTTTAATCACCCGCACGCTTCGTGTGGCACCTTTTGATCCCTTTGCTCTTTCCCTCGCCACATTAGATTAGTCCACATTCGCCGCTATCGATTTTTAATGTGTCTTGTGTTAATACGCTAATGTCTTTGCCCTTTCCTCACAGCCACGCCACAGACATAATGGAGACTCCGGGCTGGAAGTCAATGATCCAGTCTCATCCTCACTTAGTGGCCGAGGCTTTCCGCGCGCTAGCCTCGGCCCAGTGCCCACCCTTCGGCCTGCCCAGAAAGAGGCTAAAACAGTCCTGACTCGTCGGCTTTCTTAAGCCGGGCACACGCCAGAGACGTAGAGGTGCGTGTGAAGTTCCTCTCCTCGCAGAGCGGCAGCCTTTCTTCAGCGATGAGTTCGGTCTTGGAGCTTTAAACATTTCCGTCGTCTCTGATGGCCTTAAACTGTTCGCCGTGGCTCCACAAAGCCTCTTTTCTCCTCTTTTCTCAGCTCTACTCTGTGCCTGCCTTGTCCCGAAGAGACCAGGCCTCCTCCCCTCCCTTGCACTAGTTCCCAAAGTCTGTCTGTTTTGATACGGGATTCAGTAAGAATGTATGAAGGGTTTGATAAATGGGAAAATATTGTTATATATGGTCATCGTGTTTGGCCCGTTTTGCGACTAAACATTGAAAGTGATGGCTGAGTGCCGCTGAGGTCACTGCTCTACACTTTTTGAAGAGACAAGATAATGCCCCATATTGATGGCACTATTTCTATGTAAGACATATTTGACATTTAAACATATTTGAAAGGAAAAAAAAATTTAAAAACATAGTACTCGTAAATATTGTGGAGAAGACAACTGTATGCATTTGAGATGTTTGTAATGCTTATGTGACAAAAGGAATTATTGTCTGTGTTGTTCTGCCCCTAATTTATTCATATGTGAGAGAACGTTACAATACGAGAGAAACAAGTGTTAAGTCTCCACTTTCCCCAGGTTAGTCTGGTGTTGCTTTCTTTTACAGCTTGTTACGTTCTAGGTATTTACTGGGTACAAACTCCAAAGTACTAGGTAATTATTTTGAGTAAAAGGAGAATAAGTACCGAAAACGTCCTGTTCACATATATCTAGATTTTTCTAGAGTTTTCTTTGTGTTTTGGCCTCGCGTCCACACGGAAATGACGTTTTCGGTCACTAGTAATTCATATTTTTGAAAAATGCTCTCCAGGGTGTTTTTGTGCAAAACGCAGCTTTTTGAAAACCATTAGCTGGATATGTAGCTGTTTTCATTTATTGAGCAGAACGCTGCCCAAAAAATGGGTTGTTTATGTGCACAAACAGAAGTTATAATCATCTTTATGATTAAGTTTGGCTTTACTGTGTCAAACTTCAGAGAAGGGGTATCAGAATGTAACATTCCCGTGCTCAGTTCTTTTAAGTGGTCGACTGCAAATATTAAAAATATCTCAAGGATTCTAATACGTGACATTATGATAACTAAACCAACCAAACAGATTTGAAGAAATAACAACAATAATAATTAAAAAAAAGAATAATTGAAATGGGGTGAAAAGACTCAGAGATGGTAGTGTTGCCATAGAAACATTAGTGAACTCATGGCAAACGGTAGGTTTTGTTTCACTTTCTTATAAGCTTTTATTTTCTGGCAGAAGTCTGACTTCTGTGTGAAATATCGAATTGGGGAGCTCAGTGTTTGTAGCACATTTGTCACGTTATGGAAACTTTGCTTTAACATCTCAGCTCTACTTTGCGCCACAATGTTGTTTTTAAGGCAGCATCAAATTGTACAAGGTATAATCTCCCCTTATTAGGCTGGATTGCTCATGCGAGTGTTTGCGAGTCGTTTTCACGTTTTTGTGTAAATGTAGATTTTTAAAAAATGCTGCTGTTTTGGACAAAGTGGATGAGGCTTAAATTACACTGAACTGCCCAACAGGTTCTTTCTGTTAAGCCTGTAACAGATATAGTACTTGTTAATTTTTTGGAGTATAAGGTGGTAAATACAAACACTGAATACGTTTTACTGTAATATTTCATGTTTAAGCAGGAAATTTTATAGTTAACACCCTGTAAAACCACAGTATCATTGTGTTTTTCATTTTGTTCAAGTATTAAACAGGTACATACTGTATAGGACTCTTGTGTCTTCAAGTGTCTGTGTATGGCCTTTTAATCCCATTTAACTGAAAGGTATTTGGTGGACTTTGGTTTAATTTCCTGCTTAAGTGTGAAACAGTGAAATTTAGTGCAAGTATGTTTGTACTGACCATTTCATAAATGCAAAAACTCATCTTAAAATTTATTTTTTTGCCATTCACGTTTTGAGCTTGCCACCTTTTTCATGTCTGAGCTTGATATTCTAAATAATTATCCACTTATGAGATGTTTTTTATATCCAGTTATGTCGTTTATCTGCCTAATGGCTAAAACCTGTAAGACTGGGCATCTGGATATACTTTGCCTGGATTCCATTTACACTTTTTATTGTTCTCCAGAGTGTTCTCCAGCCTCCTGTATCCTTGTTTATCCTCTCATGTGCTAGTAGTGTTGTAGTACTCAAGTCCAGTCTTCTTAATCTTAACCTGGTCTCGGTCTTGACTCACCTCTAGTAGTCTTGACTACAACACAGCCTACAGTGCCAAACACTGCCTACAACATAGCTGTATGCAGATATAGTTAAAAACATTGTTTACACTTGTGTTAAATGTGATCAAGATCCGTCTCTGAACACCTCCGTCTGTGGTTTGAGTGATCCAATAGTAATCTGGTCACAATGCGTCCTGGGTGTGTTTTAAACCTGGTAAAATCCAAGTGTGATCCGATCACTGGATGCATGTTGATGAACCGTGCAAATAACCTTTCAGTGTAATTCAAGCGTTCCGTTCCAAATAAACTCTGGAGTTTTGTATCACACACCCAGTAAATATCTAGAACCAGTTGTTTCAGCGTTGTTGAGAGCAACTGGAGCTCGCCGTGTCATTTAAAATAATTACCTAGTACTTTGGAGTTTGTACCTCACACTTACCCAGTCAGTTCTGGAAAGTAGGGCTCTAAAAGAAAGCATTACAGTTACTCCTAGTTGGTCTGTACTAGTGGTCGACCGATGTTAGTTTTTGAAGGACAGATGCCAGTTTTCAGGGTTTGGGCACAGCAGCGTTGGTGATGTGGTTCAGGGAGCAGAGGCCCAGAGCACGGCGTCAGTACTGCCCCTAACGTCACATTGTCTTAGCTAGTTAACTTTAATTTATCCAGCCTTTGTTTAACATACCACATTTATTTTTGATTAAAAACCATAGATTGTGTTTATATGCACTTAATGATCCGATAACCACGGAAAATCAGATTTCGTCAGTAATCCGATCAACACGTTTACATGCACTTGGGTAATCAGATAATGGGGAAACTCCAGGTCTGCATGAGTCATTAATCGAATAAACAGCCAATAAACTCACAGAAGAAGACGTGACGTAAACATCGAGTTGCTTTAGCAGAAAATATGAATATAAATCATCTAGAAGATGAAGAATATTTAAATCCTTCATCTTGTCAATTATGTAGTCAGTTTCAGCGTCGCGCCAAAAGTGTTTTGTTGGGTCTCGCAGGTGCTGTTAGACACTGGTAGCTTTTTCATGTACCGTGTCTATTTTCGCACGTGCTGACTGAGAGAAGTGAAAGAAATCAGAGTAGGAGTTTACACGTGCTGAGAAATCTGATTATTGAGCTAAAATCTAGCTCTCTTCATCAGATTTCTTAATTGGACTTCAAGGCCTTATTCTGATCTGAGTGTGTTGTTTACATGACCACTTGAATAATCATAACTGCAGAAATCTGATTATGGTTGGATTATTAAGTGCATGTAAACACACTCACAGATAACTTCCCAAATTCTTAATGTGAATTACTCAAAAGCTCAGATATTTACATAATAACTGACTGACTGTCCATCACCTTTCGAATTTTTCAGTGCCGATACCAGTAACAATGTTTTGATTTCGATTCCTGAACGATTCTAAGTGGATTTTGGCTTAAAGCAAAAATGATTGAGGCTCTTTAAAGTGTTCATTTTCTCACTGCAACCGATTACAGACTGATCGCGAAGCGCTGATGTTAATGTTAATTATGTGCATATGGAATATAATTCCGACAGCCAGTCAGCAGTCTAGATTTTGGAGCAAGCATGCCTTTTGGCTCACTGATGCTGGGATGGACTGCTTAGGTATTGAAATTTGATATTGAATATCAATTTTTCAATAATTTGTATTGTTGAAGAACCATGAAAGTATTACATTTCAATACTGGGCATGTGCAGTAAAGTTTCAGCGAAGCAAAGTCCGTGGTATTATGCTAAATTTGCTAGTTTGCTTGTTAACATTACTGCTAGCCAAGTTCCAACCTCAGATGCTCCACCCACATGTAGATGGAGAGTCTGGTATCTGTTACGTTAAGATGGCCACAACTGTTGGGGTTCTGTCAGCTCCATTCTAATTGGCTACCCGACAGCCTTATTAATACAGGTGGTTTTATCAGTCTTGGAAAACATGTTTGTAAACACCTTCGAAGCGATAAAGTCACTGGTTTGAAAAAACATTTAAGAAGTTTGTGGCGTAACATCAAAAGATATTCCGTAGTTGTCTTTGAAGTGTTGAGTCACTTCTAAGCAAGATCCTCGAGTTTGCTGATGGTTTTGTTTCCTGTGGGTGTGTTTTTGTTGCAGACCACTCCCCTACACTTAATGCCCAAACAGCGGTCTGTGGTGGGTTTATTTACATATGAGCCAGATGGCCTTTCCTGTCAAAGTAGGTGGTTCTTGGCCACGTTAAGAGGCAAAATGTACTAGACTCTCTGTGAGAGACTACTGCTGGCCTAATGTTAATACACAGGATAAACACAAGAAAATAAAATTCAGTATCAACATATTTTCCAAATATATCACTGTGGCAGTTGATAGTTTTAAGTTAGCAATAATAAAGTTAATGAGCTCTTGTTTCTTTAGTGCTGCTTCTCTATACTAAAGGACTACCTTACAAACCTGATATTACTTGTTTTTGGTTAGACTTTGTTTTGCTTTCTTAAAATGACACCAAAGGAAATCCTACACAGTATTGTAAACGCTAACTAGACAGCAAACACATTCCCAGAAAGAGAACTTATTATTTATTTAGTTTTGCATTGGGTTGGTCTGAATGGCATTTTACAGGCTTTGGATATTTGTTGGTATTTCTGAGTACTCTAATACTTATTCTGAAAATCACCCTTAAAAATAATATTTACATTTCAAAATTAAGCATAATATACATTCGTTAATGTAGTTCAGGCCTCAAAGATGTATTAATAGTCAAGCTGAAGCCCAGCTGCTTTTTATTTAGTTTTTATGGGTGTAAAACTTTTCTTTCAAAACAATTTGAATATCTATGATATAATTCTCACTTATCTGTCAAATATATTACTAAAAATATTATAACTTTACAGCACTGTTATCCACCCCATATATTGCCCAGCACTAGTCCTTCGGTCAGGTCCTGAAATGCTTTCAGCTTATTGGTCGACCACTAGTTTATCCACAAAACCTGTTGCCTTTTCAAAGTCCGTCGTAATCCAAACACATTAGGGTCGATAGTTAAACCGTTTTAGATGCATGAAAATGAACCAAGACGTCTGTGGAGATGTTTCGTTGATGGTGTTCTTTGATACGTATTTTGGGGAAAACCTTGCAGATACCTGTAAAGAACTGAACCTGTGTTCAGACGGGTGTTGGCAGCAGATCAGAGGGCCAGTGCAGAATTCAGTGCTCCCTCTGTTCTAACACACTAAATTCAGCGTTACCGAGCTGTGTGGGTCACCGGGGTGCGGTGGATCAGTGCTTTGGTCCTCTAGGCTTTTATTTTTTATTTTTTTTGAAGCCCCTTGGTCAGACAATCCACCTTCCGATGTACTGTCTTCTAGAATCAGGAATGCAGGATGCTGAGCATCCAACAGTGGCATTATTACAATGTGAGTTGATGAATATATATTTTTCATGACCTGTGGTATTACGGTAAAACTGACATTCTGAGTTGGAGGGATTCTGTGCAAAGTTTGTGTCATGTTACACCAACTTGTTCTGTTTGAGGATGTGTTTTGTGAAGATTCTGGACTTCTTGAAAAGGTCCAGTGTCTGTAAGAATGCCTGCGTTGTCTCATTAAAAACTTTTTTCCAGCATACAGAAGAGTTTTTTTTCTTCCAAGTTGAAATTTGTCCACTTGTGTGCACAATACCTACATTTAGAGTCGATTATTCATTCAGCCTAATAAGAAACTGTAGAACAGACTCAGTTTATATCACAATACCTACATTTAGAGTCAGTTATTCATTCAGCCTAACGAGAAACTGTAGAACAGACTCGGTTTATATCACAATACCTACATTTAGAGTCGATTATTCATTCAGCCTAATAAGAAACTGTAGAACAGACTCAGTTTATATCACAATACCTACATTTAGAGTCAGTTATTCATTCAGCCTAACGAGAAACTGTAGAACAGACTCGGTTTATATCACAATACCTACATTTAGAGTCAGTTATTCATTCAGCCTAACGAGAAACTGTAGTACAGACTCAGTTTATATCACAATACCTACATTTAGAGTCAGTTATTCATTCAGCCTAACGAGAAACTGTAGAACAGACTCGGTTTATATCACAATACCTACATTGAGAGTCGATTATTCATTCAGCCTAATAAGAAACTGTAGAACAGACTCAGTTTATATCACAATACCTACATTTAGAGTCAGTTATTCATTCAGCCTAACGAGAAACTGTAGAACAGACTCGGTTTATATCACAATACCTACATTTAGAGTCAGTTATTCGTTCAGAATTTTTACCAGCATTCTGTAAAGCTTGTCCAGGGTTATAACAATAGTGATGATAAAGCATTTTTGTGGGTGGAGCCTGGATAAGTCAATTTAAGAACCCTTGTTCTATGTTTATTTTGTACCAGATATATTTCCCTTGTGTGGTTTTATGCATCCAAAACAGTCATATTTAACTTGTACATGACCATTTTCCAGCCCCTCTTATCACTTAGAATTAAACAGGTTATTTTTGTTAAGACTGGTATATGTAAATGAGCTTTGTTCTGATTGGATGCCCTTTATTGCACCTCACTAAAAAGGCTGTAAAGGTGTTAGTTTAAATGGGAAAAACACTCAATTGGAAATAGGCTGTTTTGCAGCTGTTTAAAGCTTTAAATTTTAACTCTGTTTATATATTACAACAAACTCATTTTTAGAAGGCCAGGTAAATTTGGTTTTATGGGCCAGTTAAGTGATTTTTCAGGGGTTTATTTCGTAATTTGAAAAGTCTTGTGTCCTGGACTGCACAGTTTCCACACTAGGATACAGATTTTAGAACTCTGTATGGTGACAGGCCCTCGAGGAACACAGCTTATCTCCTGCTCAGCCCTAGATCTGTGACAGGAACCCCAACCGCAATATTCAGGAGAGTTGAAGATGCTGGCTGTAGTGATTTTGTGTTGTGTCTGAGCAGTTTAATCATGCAGAACTGGTCACTCTGATACCAGTATTAAAGCATCTACAGCACACAGGCCAAGGTGTAAATCAAACAGACTTTTAGTGTTTGATGTTGGACAGTGTTATTGCTTTTAAAATGAACCGTAAAACATTTGTCTGAAGAACCCTTTCATAATGCGAAGAACCCTTTAATCATGCAAAGTGTTTGAATCTTCTGTTGTGACGATGTCAAGCTTGCAACAATAGAAGAACCTTTTTGGTGCTATATTGAACCCTTTTCAGGTTCTTATAGAACTATCTGCAGCACTTTCTGAAGAACCCTTTCTTGATGCGAAGAACCCTTTAATCATGCAGAGGGTTCTTTGAGTGTTCATGTTTCTATATAGAACCACTTCCTTTACTAAAGAACCCTTGAAGAACCATGTTTTTTTGAGAGTGTACTTTGTTCCTACCAGTCTGACTACAGTTGTGTCATCACATAACGTGAATAATCCAGTACACCCATAAATGAGGTGGTGGTGCTGCATTGTACTGTATATCTAGATTGTATTTTCCTGGGGCCCTTGGCTCAGGGGGACCTAGATGGCTGCCTACCTTTTCCTAGTGCAAAGACCACCCCCAGCCAATCAGAACAGACCTAATTTACATATATGAGTCTTAAAGGCAGTCTGTTTTTGGTAGATAAAACCCCACAAATGTCAGAAGTGGGCCTCAGAGGACACTGTCGGATATGGGCCCTAAAAACGAAAACAAATCTTACCCACTCGGACCAGTGCAGCGCTGCGGGAGTGGTTTGCGCGGTTAGGCCTAAACGCCTGCGTGGTTAGACACTGCGGGCTGCGGCTTGCCTGTTGTTCTAAGCTGCAGATGAAAAGTGCCGCTGTGTGTACGTCCTCCATAAGGCCGGGCCTAATTAAAGCGCACAGCATGCAGTGGTGTAATCTGAGCTACTGGAGACGGAGCTGCTTCACGTGCCGGCCGCTCACGATCCCCCAGCAGCCCATCAAGCTCTGACAGCAGCTCAACACCAGCACCAGGTTTGCGCTCCTTCTGGAGATCAGTGGATTTTCATGTTCCAACAGATTCTTAGTGAACTGTGGATGTAATCAGCTGAAGGACATGACAAAGGGCCAATCAGAATGTTAGAGCGATTACCCTAAAAGGTAGTCAATCAACCAAGACGCATTTGGTCTCTGTTTACTTCTTTAGTTTTAACACTGGAGCTATGAGGCTAATGTAGCTAGCAAGCAATTGAAGCTCATACCGGAAAGCAAATTTACGGAATTTTATTTTTCAAATTTTCTGCATAATTAAATAATTAAGATGTAAACAAAGTCATTCAGAGTGGTTTGTTTGCTAAACTTATCAAACTCTGAAATCTGATCTGTTTTGTCTCCATGACGACTTCAGTATGGATTGAATTCAGGACAGCAGCTATTCCAGAATAACAGCTCCTACCTTCATAATCTCATCATGAACTCCAGATAAGAAAACAGCATCACACAAACATCCTAACTAGACTAAACCTCCTAAATCCTGTCCTAACTTTAGGATGAACCCCAACAGGGTCCTCACTTCTGTTTAAGGTCCGTTTCTATGGTTTTTAGGCAGCTGAGTCAGCAGCATAGTTCACTACCAGCATAATGAGCTCCATTTATTTCTACTGTAAAACGCTGCTTTCACTGTGAGATGATTTTCTTTTGACTCTGCGTTTTAAAGATCTCAGACGCTGCAGACTCGATCTCCACCGCCCCTCTGATCACCTTCGTGTGTTAATGTTGATGATGAAATATTACAGTGATGGTGGTGAGTAATGAGGAGACGGAGCTGAACGTGTGTCTGTTTATTAGGGGGAGTAACGTTAGCGCGCTCGGCTAAAGCGTTTGGGAAATGGAGACTGAAACTGGGGAGCGGCGACACTGATAAACAGTCTCTCTCAGAGTATTCACAACTTACATTTATCACACTTTGGTTTTGTTTGACCTTTTTTACATTGGTAAGCGTAGCTGTCTGGCTAACTAACTTACACTATAACATTATTTTAAATACGTGTTTACATTTTGAACTTGAGAAGTGTAAGATTTCCCAACTTGACATAAGATACAATTCAGTAAGATAAGATTCCTGAATTAAGATCAGACTTGCTTCTGTTAATACAGCTTTGTGAAAAATCATATCTTGACCTTTTAGATCTTAATTTAAGACTAAAGATCTGTAATACGGCCCCAGACGTCCAGCTCTAAAAGCTCCCGCACAGAAAGTTATTACATAAAATGGTTATGAATTCACTGCCTGATGTCTGAGACACTGTTTTATGATAGTTTTGAGATGATTTTGGGCCTGAAACATATTTTAAACTCCATTCATGGTGGAGGGATAGATGCTGAGGCAAAATAGTCCCCAAAGAAAACGTATTATTTCAGATTTTCCATCATCAACATTCCATATAAACTCAGAAGACTCGTGTAGGTTCACTGGTGGTTCTGGGTAGTAAATAAAATGTCTATTTCTGTGTTGTAGTCATGGCGACCCCTGGTTCCTATCACCACCACTGTAAAGAACTCTGAACCATTTCATACCAAACCACTCAGAATGTTAAAAAATCCCCCTTTGAAGCAATAAAAGCTTTACAGTTCAACTCAAGGACCTGAGACCAACAAAAGCATTTAAACCCAGTCTGCACACAGAGAAGATTTTATTTTCAGAGCCGATCCTGAAGCCTCATCCATCATTCCAGAGTAGAAATGAATGACAGTCACCCTTTCAGTAACGTTAGCATCGGTAGCTGAATAATGGTAATGAATATAAAAGTAAACAATCTCTGACAAAATGTACAGGTTTGAAATCAATGGTGGCACCTACCTGCTACAGGAGATCTCAAACACTCAAAATGACCCTTTTCTCTCAAATGTTATTTTACAGAGGAGCCAAAAGGACAAAGACAGAACATACAGCTTAAAATAATACTGCAGTGTGATGATCATAATCTAATCTACAGCTAGTATTACAATCAACAGCAAACATAGGTGTTTTAATACCCATACAGTGAGGGGGCATACAAATGACATTTTAAAATGCAAACGTTTCATTAAAATTAACTCACAAAATTGCACACTGGGTAACAACTAAGCATACAGCACTTTGCAAAGGCCAGAGACCCCCTTAATTTATCTAATGTCCAGTCAAAACAGCCATTAAACACAAGTTATTCATTTTTCAGGAGATTAGATATTAGATAATCCAGTTGCACAAGTCAAAGAAAAATAAGTGGAGCTACAGGGAAAATGATGCTCCTAACAACCACCTGGAAGAGCTGGTCGACCCCAAAACTGCCCCCATCAGATAAACAGCACTTAAAGCTTTCATCTCTGAGAGAGAGGAGAAAATCAAGCTGCTTCAGATCTGAAAACATCCACAGGTGTTTCTGTCCATCCTTCCACTGTGAGAAGACGACTCAGCGCTGTGGGTCTGAAAGGATGTGTAGAAGAACCTCACTGAGAAAAGGAGACGGACACATCAAACAAAGAAGCTGAAAGATGGACTGACCACCCCAGAGTCCAGACCTCAACACCACTGAATGTGTTTGATTACTTCAGAAAATGATCAACCAGCTTCTAAGACTGAACTTTGGAGGTGTGTCTGCAGATTCTTTGAGGAGCTGAAAGTGAGTCTCCTGAAAAGAATG